GTAACTCTCCATGAACTGTTCTGGCTTCTCTATCTGGTCAGAAATGTTGCTGGGAAGATGGCTATTGTCACTTGCTAGTGCCATTTTCAGTTGCTCACTTGAAAACTAAATGGACGTGCATCTCCCACACTTTGAAGCACTGCTTAGTTTAAGAAGTTGCCTTTTCCCTTCCATCCCTCATTGTTTTTTCTTTCCTCTTTCGTTTCTTCTCCTGCAATGGAAAACCCTTTCATCCTGCCTCTTCAGCCTCTTGGCTTTTCTGGCTCTCTTCATGTAGCTCTTGACATCTGCTCCTGTGTTAGTGTTCAGGAGCTGTGTCTGGCTGCAGCTCATCCCAAGCTTGCCACTGCAGGCACATATGGATTGGCCACTTCAAACTCTTACCCCGGGTTTTTCAGTGTTTAGCTTATTTTACCTCTTTTGCTGGTAGGGTAAGAGAGGAAGCTTTGTGCTTTTCTGTCCTAATGGCTTCACTCTAGTAAAGCTGAAACGTGAAAAGAATAATCTGATCTATTCCTGCAGAACTTTGGTTTTAAGTGGGTTTGATGCTGCACGTGCAAAGTGCTTTCTGTGGGGGCTGGGCTCATTGAGTGCAATGCATTGCAACTGGTTGTCAGAATTATTGATGGCAAGATGCTCGTGTAGCTGCTGGCTTCCTTCCAGTTCTGCTAGGATGGCAAAGCATCTTTGACTTCAGTGTTAGTTCCTCCTCCATGTTGGAAAGCGTTTGCTTGCTGCCTGTTGTAGCCCAGGGTGAATATGTGTTTCTCAGAATATCTTTTCTGACTGGCCTCTACACTATAATACCATTGCTAGAGCACGCAAAAAGGCTAAATGATAACTTCTTTTGGCACCAAAATCTGTCTCGTACCCATATTCACCATATAGCTGTATGTATCATTAATTTGTATAGCTGTATCTATTGTTAATATTTGCAACATTGTTACTCTTACTCTTTCAGGAATTTATATACTTTTTTTAGTGTAGTTCCTCATGTACATACAATGGGTCATTTAAAAAGACTCTACAATCAAAACAACCCCCCACACCTTTAATCTTCACATTTTAAATCTCTCTGCATTCCTTGAAACCATGGTAACGGGTGGGATAACCCATCTGCATTAGAGTGGCTGCCGAGTGAAGGAGGAGGCTTGTGGCAGAGTCTGATGCTGGTATGTCACCATCTGTAAACCACGGCAGGCAGGTAGAAGGGCAGTTAGTGCTCTAGAAGGAAGAGTTTGCTGTTGATGCTAGGTATAACTGATCAAACCCTCACTCCAAATCCACATGTTCCTGTGTAATTCATCTGAGTTGTTTATTTCCCCATCCTTCCTGTTCGTAACCTTTAGTGTCTCAACATTTTCAACTTGCAGATTCTCACAGCCTGGACTCCAGTCGATATTCCATACAAGGAGCAGATCTCCGTTTCTCATCGGAGCTGGAGGAAAAGCTGAAGAAACATAACCTGGATGTGCAGTAAGATTATCTTCACTTTTAGGGAGTTTTATGAGGGCTCATGAAGTGTACTGGTGAGAGTCAAAGTCAGGCTTGGGCATACAGTAGCTGCATCCAATGCTCATTATGCCATTTCCATGGTTACTTCTTCCTGAACCCCTGGAGCAGAAGGAATTGTTCAGACACCTCCTGCAGCCTCACAGAGCCTGCTGGCACTGCCAGGACTGCTCCAGGGCTGAAGCAAGGTTGTTCCTTGTGTAGCCTATTCTGCAAACTGCATTTTCATCCTTGTTCTTAAAACACTATGTGGCTTCTGTGAGTGGTTCTCTTTGGGGTCTGTGATCCTGTCACACAAGTTCCAGTGATTGTTGCAGAGCAGGAAGCTGTGATTCCTTCTCGATTCCCCCATCCCTTGCTCTGGAGGGGATGAGTTCCCACAACAGTCGTTTTCTGCCTCAGAGCTCACACAAGTTTTCTTTTTCTACTTCATGAATCAACTCTTTTGGAAATCTCTAGAAGAGTTACCCCTTGCTTGAATTAGGTTGAAATTTAGTCAATAGAATCACAAGTTATTCAAGGGGAATCTCTGACTAGAAATGTATCCAAATGTCATAAATTGCTTTTTGAAAGAGTTGCTTCAGTTGCATTTAGCTTCAGTGTTGAGTGATGGGCAGTACCTAGAGCAGCGAGCATGTTCCACCCCATGAGCTGTATGAGTCAAGACTTCTGGGAGCTCAGCTGCTAAAATGAAGAATAATTCTGTCAGTCTTCAATTATTTCAGAGTTTTATCTTTGTAATTATTTTCTGTTGCCTCCACTTAACCCCCCTGTTGTTCCCTCCACCTTTGACAAGTGATTGCCTGGAGTCCATTGAGAATTGAACTCCAGAAGCTAATACCTGGGGGTTTATTGTTCAAGCATTAGGCTTCTGGAAGGGGCAAGATTTAAGTTTTCAGAGTGGATGATGGACATACCTTTCAAATATAAGATATATAAATAGCAGCTATCTGGCTGGGTGGGAGAGAGCATATGGGCAAGCAGAATGCATCAAATTGCCATTTAAATCTTTACACTTCCATCCTCTGAAATCTTGCCTTGCTTGCCTACATTGCTGCTCCTTGTGGGATTTCTCTTGCTTCTAGTGACTTTTTTTTCCTGTTCATTCTAGCAATTAAAAGAAGACTCCATAATTCTGAGCAAAACTACTCGTGTAGATGTCTATTTTTCTTTCTCTGTGGATGGAGGGGGAAGAGGCAATGTGCAAACTGTAGATTGCATTTTGCTAGATAATAAAGTGGAGCTTATTTTGCAGATACTGAACACATTTGTCTAATTAAAATTCTTCATGGAACTTCTTTAAAGAGAAAACTTTTTCCATTTTTATTCCTAATTTAACTGATCTCTGAAAGAGAGCACATCATGTATACAGGGAACAGCTCTTCTGCAGAATGACTTTCAGTATGCACTTCAGTTCATGCACACAGCTCAGAGAAGACTTAAAGAATACACAGTCCTCTGTGTTTGCAATGTGGCTGATTATGGGGAGATTGTTTCCCAAAGTCTCTGTGTTGTAACCCCAGGAGTCCTCTGTGGTTAAGTCATTGCCTGATAGAAAACCCAGTTCTAGTCAACTTAAGTGATTTTACTCAGTCTTAAATGTGTAGTTCATAAAAGGGGTAGTTCTTTTGAGAAATTTTGGGGACATAAAATTACTGGCTTATAATTCCTTATAGATTTTTCTAGTTCTTTTGCTAGAAATAGTTCTCTTGTTTTTGTTTCCCAGTTTGCCAACGCTGCTGGTGGCAGAGTGTGTGCTGGTTTACATGACCCCGCAGCAGTCTGCAAGTCTCCTCAGGTGGGCAGCCAGCACCTTCCCAGTGGCAATGTTCATCAATTATGAGCAGGTAAAACAAAACTAGCACTTTTAGACCCCAGTTATTGTCATCAAGGGTGGAAGTTCTGCTTGTGAAATGAGTGGGCCATGTCCCTTTGTACAGAGAGCAGTTTCTGCTGAATTTCTGCAGTAATGTGTTTTACCTTGGAGATGGGAAAGCTCATTGTACACAATACAGAGCTATTCTGAAAGACAATTTCTGGATTATGTTGAACCAAAGTGGTTGAGACTTAATCCGTATGTGGAGAAAACCATAAAATATTGATTTAACTAAGACAGAAGAAAAGGAAATGGTGCTGAATGTTGGATGTGAGTGTGTAACATTACATAATTGCCTCTGTGTTCTTTGGCAAAGGGGACCAAAAATCACATCAGCATGAACTCAGCTTCTCTGTATGGAAGTAAAATGCTGCCTTGGGGGAAGTAGGTGGCTCCAGGAATTAGAAACAGGATCTTCTAAGCTGTAAATCACTGCTAGAGAGCTGAACCAAGTTGTCAACAACTTGAAGCAGAGTCAGTTTTCAGTGCCCAGTCCCTGTGGTACCATTGTCACCATTAAACTAGCATTTGACTTGTAAACCTGAGGTAGCTGAGGAGATTGTGGCAGTGGGAAATGAGACCTGGTGTGAGATTCTGAAGCTTACTTTAATGTTATCCTGTACATTTTGTGACATGGACAATTCAAGAGTTTAACCAAGTTACTGCTTTTCACTGGGATTACATTCTTTTCGGAAGGAGGAACACTTTTGTCTCCTTCTCTACCTGAGGTGAACATGACAGACCGATTTGGACAGATCATGATTGAGAACCTGCAGAGACGACAGTGTAACCTGGCTGGGGTGGAAGTCTGCAAGTCCTTAGACTCTCAGGTAAAAGGGGCACAGAGCTCTGTGTGTGTTGGATATCAAAGTTAATCTGTCTGCAACTTCTGCCTCTGTGTGTGCACTGTAAGGCTCAGAGCAATGACCAAAGCAGGGCTGGTGGAGCAGCTGCTACCTGATGAAATCCTTTGCTATCCCCCTTACACGGTTCCCTGTTACAAGTGCCATAGTTGCTTGTTATCACTTAGTTTGGTAGCTGTACAAGAACTGCAGCAGATCAGAACACAGCTCCATCTATCCCACTGTCCTCTCTGCACAGAGGTTAACAGCAGATGCTTAGAAAAGAGTGTAAATGCTCTTCAAAGCACAGGTCAAGCAGATGGCACCCAAAATCCTTAGGGGGAAAACTGTTCTCTGGCATTTTTCCTTGAGTTGTCTGAAAACTCTGCTACTTGTTTACTTCACAGAGGGAGCGATTGTTGCTAAACGGCTGGGAAACTGCACATGCCATTGATATGATGAAAGTGTACAGCTTTTTGCCACAGGCCGATGTCAAAAGGTATTACTGATAGCTTGCTTGCAGCCAAAGTCATCTTCAGATGCCATTGCCAAGGTAGTTTACATCAATATGGAGTATGGGATCCCCTAGTATGACAGAGCGGAGGCTGTGTGCAGATGCAGAACATGTCTGAGTGGAGCTCTGCAGAGCCTGAAGGCTAATGCCTGGAGCAGCATTAATGATCCAGAGGGTTATTGCTGCCAGGAGTAGACTGGCAGTGCTGATGATTTATTTGGGTGTGATAGAAAGCATCTTATGACTGCAATTTGCAGCTAAAAGATGCTACAGAAATGCTGTGTTGAGTTTTTAGAGTACCTAAGGTGGTTCTCGTGGATATGCAGCCTCCACAACACTAGATACGTGGAGTGGAGTGCTAAAATACACTCAGAACAGGCAGCCACTTTTCATGGCCCCAGGGGAGATGACATCCAGGTGTTTGCTCCAGTCTCGTAGGCCTGGGTGAGAATACTTATCTGTTTGCATTTTTACTACGAGTGGAAAATGGCCAGGATTGATCTTCCCTCCCTTCGTTCTTGGCAGCATATTTAGGTAATGAGCCAAGGCAGGGCAGTGATGTAGAGCTGTGACCTGGTTTACTGTGCAGGCAAAGAGGGAGAGGGAGGAGAAGTGTGCCCAACAGTGTGGGGTGATTATTTCTCAACAGATGGATGCATCTTCCATTCATATCATCATCATGAGCTAGGCTACTGGGTCTGTAGACAGCTTAGTACACAGAGGGTATAACCAAAGGCTGTTGTAACAGTAATCTGCATGGATTTTATTAAGTTTTTTGCATTAAAGAAAAGCTAAAAAGGGGAAACTGGTTTTAGTGGGTAACTTCTGAGGTATAGAATATGGAGTGTGAATTACTCCGAGTCATTCATTAACTATAGCTGGAATTGGCCAAACAAGTTACCTTGGTCAGAATAAGTGTTCGCATATGGGGATTTCTCAAAGCATGGAACTGAACAGGTGAGACTGGAAATCATAGGTTGTTTAAATGGGAACACTGACTGTGTGACTGCACCATATGGCACTTTCGGAGAGACGTAGCTTGTGCTGTTTTCTTGCAGCATTTTTGTCTACCTCAGATCTGTTCAGCTCCTTCCTCTTGTTCCAAATGCCAAGAGATAGGTGACGTAAACTCTGTCCCTTGGTATTAATGAGGCAAGTAATGCTTTCTCTTTATGAAAGTCCTCACAAAAGTGGTCTTCTGCAACACTTGCACATCTGTGAGAAACTTTTGCCCTACTTCAGATCCCCAGTAGCAGCCCTTCCAAATATTTAGCATGGAAATTAAGCACTCTGGTATTCAAGTAGAGAGAGGAATGTGCCAGGTTAAACTTTTTAAAGCAAGCACAGCTTGGGAGAAGTTCTCCCATTTGTTTGGTGGAAGACATTCAAAGATCTTGCTTTAAGAAGCCTAGGCAGGAGCCATTTTAGGAAAACAAATCCTCAGCTCTTGTATATGCCATTTGGTTTGTGCTTCATCATGAGCTCATGTGGGAGAGTTGTTAGAACGGCACTGGTGTACCCATCACTCTTCCAAGACATAATATGGACTTGTTATTGTCTGGAGAAAATACCATCTTCAACTGTTCACTGTAATCCTTTGGTAAAGAGAAATCTCCTTCCATTAGGACGTACTAGTGTGTCTACTTACATCCAGCAAGACCAGATACATGCAGTAAAAGGGGTTAGAAGAGAAATACTGGTATTTGTGAGAGGTTGCACAGATGAGTCCCTGTGAAATGACATGAAATTCCAGGGCTGAGAAGTTGGAAACATCTTGTGGGTCACTTGTTTCATTCATGGACAACAAAGGCTAGGAGTAGTGCTATCTTCATTATGAACAAATACTTGATTAATTTACTGCAAGGGTAACTGCCTTATTTACTATAGTTTGCACATGAAAGAGTACATTAAAAACTGTACTGAGGCTCCAGCTTGAATCACAATTTGTATTTTATCCCTACAGGATAGAAGGACTTGAATTCCTAGATGAAAAGGAGCTGTTTGAACAACTAATGCAGCACTACTGCATCTGCTGGGCTTCAAAGGACAGGAGTAATCTGGGTAATGTTCTGCAGCACCTAGGAGGTGACCCTTCACATTGAGATCTGATGTGGGAAGGCTGTGACTGTGCACACCCGATATGTGACAGAAGTGCCCCGTCGTAGGAATGGGGTCTGCGGCTGTGTCACTGGGGCTGTGAACACCTCCCAAGGGGTCTTTCGTGGCTGTTTCTCCACAGCCTTTTGAGGGTTTGTGTAAGGCATCTGAGTTGCCCAACAGGAAGCCCATGCAGTAGAGGGGAGTTAGAATCCTTACGCTGAAAGATGCCGTATGGGTTACCATAAATAACTGCCTGCTTTATACTATCAGTGCTAATTGAGAGGTTTACAAATCCCAGGCATGTAAAGCACCATATGGGCACACAGTATATGAAATCATGGAGTCCTGACAACAGAAAAATAAATCTGGGCTCCTTAGCTCAGTCTTCTTCTGCACTAGCCCCAGTTACAGCCACTTGAGACTTATGTTTGCCATGCTCCTTTCTCCTGGGGGAGAAAATTCCTGCAAGAATTGTGGTTCAGGGGGAGGACGGGTGTCTCCAGCCGTTCTTTGTCCAACTAAGAAGGACAGCTCTGTTGCAGGCTCAGTTTTAGCTCTATTTCTGTCTGCAATTTCAGGGACTTTAGTCTTTCTAGAAAACTTCTCTACCCACCATTTTATCCCTTCCTCCTCCCCTTCTCCTTCTCTGCCCTTCCCTGGCTCCTGACAAAGCAGTATTCAGGAACAAATTCTATTGTCTGCTTCTGAGCAAATGGAATAGATGTAATTGGCTGAAGCTGTGCAGCCAGACTGAGCAGCAAAGCATCTGATACAGCTGGTAAAACTAGATCTTCAGTACCCTGCTGTAACAGAGATGTGAGCTTGTGGTGTCTGCTGGCCTGAATCCACAGCTTTGATAGTGTTGAGCTGCAGAGATGCAGTTTCCATTTGATTTCTTACGACTAAAAGGCGATGACTGTAATACAGAACTAGAGGAGCTAAGGCCAAAATGTTCCCCTGCTCTTAGCAGCCAGTATTCCTGGGACCTCCAGCATTATTCTTTGCTGTGATTAGAGGAAAGTTTAGGACAATTTTGGGTGCTGAGCTTGTGTTACAGTGTAGCTTAGAAGTCAAAAAAGACAGATCTCAAAGGAGATAATCGGATGTCTAATGCATGGCTATGCCTTAATCTAAAGCAGCTTTCCTTTATCCGGTGTGAATTCACTGCCCTCTTTAATAGTACTTTCCTCAGCTTTCTCTTTTTAAATGTCATGGGCAGACACTGTGGTGTTCCTTCTGTCACGAATAGCTTCAGTCCTCCTTCAGATTGGCTTGTTCACATTAATTGCTGCATCACAATCAGAAAAGGGCTAAAAACGTACAGCTCAACCTGTCTCCTCGTTTCCTCCCCTCCCACCAAATCCTTCATGTTTAAGTTGGAAAAAACCTCCAGAAATTCTCAAAGCATCCCTCTTCCTATGTCTAACTGTCCTGATAGTAGTGAAGTACAGGTAGTATAAGAATAAACACTTGTTTCTCTCCACACCCCCTTCTCAAACAGGTCTTGCAAACATCACGTTCTGATGGGTTTGCTGGAGCGAAGCTGGGCCCAGAAGCCACAGTGACTGCCTTCTGCCTTCTGCTGGAGACAAGATCACAGAAATGATGGGACTTTGCATGTGCCAGGTTCCATCTGGCCTCTGTGCAAGCAGTGCCGGTGCAGGAGGTGATGGGTGCTGCTGGTGTCACTCCCCTGTTGGCTTTTGGTAGTTCTCATGGATTGTTGTCACCCATTGGTGAGCAACTGTTACCAGGCAAGACTTGCCCCCTGTTCCCAGATGCATAATGATGGACTTCCATAAGATGTCAGTAATTCCTGTTTAAAAGCTTGCCTTCCTTAGTTTAAAACTGGAAGTGAAGTGTTCCTGGATGATACCATTTTCCTCTTTTTGTCTTCTTGTGCATGTGTAAACTGTATTTGTGACAGGAAGCTGGAAACCCCACGCTGGTGAGCTGCGTTACTGGGTATCTCTGCACTGTGCATGGCTGATCATGGAGGTTAAATCCTGTTCATTTTCATTCTGCTGAGGTTTAATTTGTATGAAGTGTCACCATGTCAGCTTCCTCCAGGCTTTACTGTTACTGCAGGGCTCTCGCTCTACTGGATGTGTTCTTGTAGGGGAAGGCTGAAAGAAGAAGGGGAGCTGAGCTGCTTGTTCAATAATGTACAAGAAGCTGGATGATGTCAAAGTAGGCTTTATTTAACTGGGAAGGGCTTAGCTTGGCAGTTCACACTGGGCTGGTGAAGGTAAGAAAGAGATGACTCTAAACTTGCACTGCTTCTGGTAGTATCTTTACACCAGTTTCTCATCCTTCTTTCTTTCCCCTTAAAAGAAACAAAACTAAATCCCAACAGCAGTGAAAGACCTTTCCCTATTGTTTGAAACGGAATCTTGCAACCTTCCTATGAGAAAAACAATAAATGTTTAGTATTTATAATTTGCCCAGTGTCTTTACTCATTAGAAATTACTTATTTATATCTGGTTTAGTGACTGCATTTTTCCTTTCTCACCCAAAGCCTTGCCAAGAGTATCTTTTTAAAGCAGTTGCAAGCATAAGCAACCATTTTCATGCTGTGTGTGACTTTCTGTGGTGTGGGAATACCTGGCTTTGGAAATAGTTGACGTGGGCTTGGACTGGAGATGTGGGAAGGGGATTATTGAGATACCAGGAAAAGTAATGAGTTCTCAGAAGTGACAGTGATAATTGCAGAGGAACAGAAGCACTAAAAGGAAACAGCCTTCCCTGCACTGCCCTCCTCTCCATCACCAAGTTTAGTCACTGGCAGCGACAGGCCTCCTGCTGTCACCTTTGTGTTAAGCTGGTTTCTTGAATGCCAGGGCTCAGAAGTACAGTATTTGGTTCGTGTTCTGCTTGCTCTTTGCAGTGTTCACATAAGCTCTGTGCCCCCAAAGGGAAGGGATGGACTGTGCAGTTATGAAAGGAGCTTATAACCTTTGCTTCCTAGATAACAATATCAATGGTATGCTGATGCCTGCACATTTGAGATGTTTGGGCTTATCTGCACCCCTCTTCTATGAAGAGGTGCATGCAAGCTGTGTCTGCAGCAGTGCTGGGCCTTTCCCTCTGCAGTTGCAGGAGACCAGGAGGACGTGTCTCATTTTTTCACCTTACCATCAAAGTGCTTTCTTGAGCACAGCATCTGTAACCAGGGACTGCAGGGTTTGCCTCTGGGTGGTTTCCCATGCAGTTGTCTGCTCCTTGGGTTGGGAGTAGACTGGTTCTTGGGAAGCAGGGGCAGTTATCCTGCTGCGTTCAGTGGCCTGCAGCTTCTGGGTTTTACCTTTTGGTTTCACACTGTTGTTAAATAAAACACTAGGGTGTTTGAATATTTCTCCTTCCCGCTGTGCAGCTGCTCTGCCTGGCTGCCTTTGATATTGTGCTCCTTGATCTCTGTCCACAAACAGCTCTGATTTGACTTGCTGGCATTAGCATCACCTCTGTTGAGTGCTGCATGAGCACCCATGGGACATGGTGTCCTGAAAAACCTCTTGATTTGAATTAGCATGCAGAAACTACCTGAAATAGCTGAGTCAAAGGTGTTTAAATATGAAGATGAGAGAAACAAGACAATGTGTAATGTCACAGATCTGCTCATAGCCAGGTTTGACATGTTACCTGACAGTTAATCTCTCTGTTAGTAAGAACAAGGGATTAAAGAAACTTAAAACCCACCAACAAACCAGGAGCCCTGTAACACCCTCTGCACTGCAGGAGTCTTGTGCAGTGACTAATGCTTGTTCTGTGGCAACAAGACTATCCTGCTGATTCCTTTTAAATAAGATGAATGCATTTTATTTAGTAGAGTAAAAGCCCATCTCTACTATCAATTTAATTTTGGCAAGACCCCTCTTGAGCCTCTTTATGAGGGAGAGCTGAGGTCTTACCTGCTCTGGAACAAATCAGTTCCCTTTGAACCAGCTGACATCTGAGATGCAACCTCTGAGGTGTTGAATTTGTCATATCAATGGGCCTTGAATGCAGCTCGCTACAGGAGATGGTCTTGTGCTCTGTCAGTCGTCTTTGTTGTCATCTCTGTCACAGCTTAATCCTGTCTGTGTTGGGAAATGATGTCTCTGCCAGCATGAGGCAGATGCTGCTGGAATTGCTGCTCATCAATTTCTATTTTAGGTCCCTAATTTGTTCGTCTGAGGGAAGCACTGAAGGATGTGGCACAGGAGCAGAGCCGGTGCCGTGGGATGGGAGGCACGATGGTGCCCTGTTTGCTCTTCCTCTGGATGAGTCTGACTCTTGCATCCATTCAGCTAAAGGGGTGAGCATCCAGCTAGGAGAAGGGGGACCATTCCTGCAAGAGCTCTGCAAGAGTCTCTCCTAACTCTGTTGGCAGCAGTGGTGGAGGAAGTAGGTCACCTTGTGCTTCAGGGTCACAACAGGATCAAAGGGGTTTGTGATCCCTGGCAGCCCGGGTGGGCAGTCTGGTTCTTGTGATTACACTAAGTGCAATCAATCTCTTGCCTCAATTCAGGGAGTATTGGGGTTTGAGAGTGCCTGGTGCTGCTGAACACTACTTGGCTGCAGATTAAAAGGCTGAGAGAGGTTTTCTAGCCAGGAGAGATGGCCTTTGCCTGCTGCTTGCTGCACTCTGTGGGACTCTGCTTGTCAGCAGAGGCTCCATTGAGCTGCATGGCAAATCTCCGCCTCTCCTCTGCTCCCAGCCCAGCCTTTTGCCTGGGTTGTTGGTACTGACAGTGCAGCAAAATCCATCCCTGCAAATCCTTTGTTTAAAGGGGAAAAAGAAAATCATTTAATGCGTGAACGAGCTGCAGGATGAAAGGCATTGTTCCAACTGGAGCTTGAGCATTCCCTTTGCAACCTCCTGCCCCACTGGCAGCTTCCCCTGATGCTCCAAGGGTTTAGCCTGGCCCTGCCTTCTGGTACCTGTCCTTGGTAAGGGCACAGCACTGCCCCCTTTGCCACAGTGATGTCCCATATTGGCCTTGTGTCGAGCTCTAGTCTCTGCCACAGCCATACTTGTGTCATTCTGCTGCAGATCACTTAAAAGTACTTGAAAAAGTTTCCTGTTTCCCACTGAATCTAGTTTCCATGTCTGTAAATGTAGTAACAGCAGGAGATTTGATATCATCAATGGAAAAAGTTCTCCTTCAAGTCTCCTGCAGCACAGAGCCCGTGATGTTGTTCCTCGCTGTGTTGCTAAAATGGGTTGTGGGGCACCTGAAGAGCTGCATCTCACCCTGTCCTCCTGCAGGGTGGGTAGTCAGCCTGTCCCTCCTGCGTGCCATGCATTTGGAGAGCATTGGTGCCATGGGACCTCTGGTGAAGGCGACAGCCAGGCCCTGCATGGGGCTCGGGAAGGAGATGGAGCCAGTGGCCAGAAAGGAAGGTCAGCCAGGAAACGTGGGTAACGTGAGGGAGTGTGTCTGGTCCTACTTGCTGTCCTTGAAGGAAGGTGCTGTTAGCGCTCTGCTTCTCCCCGTGCCTGCAGTTGTGAAGCACTTGCAGGACGAGGATGCCCAGTTGCCATGGCAAAGCGAGGGAGCCGAGCGCGTGGTCCGCGCCTGCCACCGAGCTGCTGCCACAAACTGTTCCTGTCAGGTACAAGAACATCCTCTGATCTGCTCCATGCTGAGCCCTGCGTGTTGGTCCTCACTCTGTCCAAGCTTCAACCACAGTTCAGATGACTACACTTCACTGTGCCTGTGTTCCATCCACATTACCCATGCCTGAGCATGGCCTGCTCAAAAGATGGGTAAAACTAGTCCCCTTCTAGAAAACTCAACCATTTAGTTCCTTACAGGGATTATCTGGCCCTAGGAAATGACTGAAAAGCAGCTGCACCATTTCAAGCTTCTCTGCAGCATTCCCAGTTCCTCATTTCATACTTACAACGGTTTTCAGGTCTCTGTGCTGCTGGGGCACAGGGAAATGTGGATATTAAGGCTGGAAACATCCCGGTGTTGTCAGCCTTATGGGATAGTCACAGGGAGCCAAGTGCTGGGTGACTGCAGGGAGGATGTGCATGTGTGTGTGCGCTGCCGGGGACTGGGAGCATCCCTCCCTTTGAGAGCTTGGTGGGTTTGAATGTTAAACGCCAAAATGAAGGTCTGAGGGTGCTTCATCCTACATTTTCCCTTCTCGGTCCCCAGAACTGACCCGAATCCCTCCCTGTTTTCCAGCAGAAACAGTAAATGTATGGAGAACCCTTGGAAATTTCCATCCGCGCTGGAGCGGGACGGTAGCGTTTGGGGGTGAAGTTATTATGCAAGATAGGCTCCATGAAGGGGCAGAGGTCAGCTCATCCGTGGTACTGCTACGAGCTGCAAATACTTCTGCAGGTTCTCATTCACCAGCGGTTGTGTAATCATCAGGCTATGGAGCTCCAAGGTAAACACTGGAAAGATAAGGCAGTGTCAAATGAGTTGCCTTTGCCTTTATGGCTGCTTAAAGAGCTGACCACGAATGCTGGGGTCTCTCCTTGCAGCAACACCCTTGTGCAGCACTGAAATCCTTTGTGGTAGCTTGT